AAACAATCTTTGAAAATAAATAAAAATGAACATTTTAAAAATTATATATGAAATTCAATTTTTATTGATGTTTGCTTCATTTTTATTTTAAAAATATAAAACCAGCAAAATAGGATTTTTACTAAAATCAAGAAAAAAGTATACATATGCATACATATATATATATATATATATATATATATATATATATATATATATATATATATATATATATATATATATAATATATAATATATATGTGTGTGTGTGTATATATAAGCCAAATTTTCTAAGTAATAATGTAATTATGCTACCCAAAAATAAAATTATGCTATATTGTATGTTCCAAGTACACAAATAATTACCCGATTCTAAAGTTAATACGAATGTCAAACATAAAATTTAAAAAAATGAATTAAGTTTTCTTAGAGTGCTACCAATGGGTAGTTTCTCAAAAAGCGTGTTTCATGTGATCATATTCCTATGTACACATTTACTTGATGTATTCATACTAATACAGTTGTCAATATCATAATAAAAGTTAAAAAAGTTAAAAGTTTCCTCAATTTTCCAAGAATATAAACCAAAAGTAACATAATTTGGACGTTATAAACTTAAATATTTCGACCGAGTCCACTTTGAAGGCATAGAGCCAATCTCAAGTGCACAAATATACTAGACTGAGTTGGATATAGTAGAGAGGTATTTGTTTTTTTTGTTTTTTTATGGACAACTCAGAGAAGCATTCCTTCTACATCTTGAGAATGGTACCATGTCTTAAAAATGGCAGAGTGAATTTTAACCGATATTTTTAAAATTATATTAGCGGACCGTGAAATATACTTAAGTCAGAAAACGAATGAAATCATCGATCAAAAATGAAGAAAAATGTAAATTTTTAATGTATGAACAATACTCAATTATTTTTATTATTAATTTTAAAACTATCAATGTACAATAACCCAAGTAGTAATGGAATTCCAAAAATATAGCGTTACCCTACCGTTTGTTAATAGCATACAAAATTTGTAAAAGTTGATATGAATATCAAAAAGATATTTTAAAAAATAAATCAAGTCTCCTTTAATCGCCCATGAAAATAGCTTGAACGCTATAGAATTACTTCTTTCGATCAAAAACATTTTGAAGACCTACGTTCAATCTTAGATGTAAAATTAAAACTAAACTGAGTTGGGTAGAGAGGTATATATATATATATATATTTTTTTTTGTCAACTCAGCGAAGCATCCCATCTACAATCTAAGGTTGGCTATAAGTCTTGAAAATAAGAAAATATTTATAAATTATATTATTTAACAATATATAGAGAATTGTAACCAATATATTTTACGAGAAATATGTTTTAATTATTATTCTTAAAATATCAATTCGCAAATGCCCAAGAAATAAGAATGTTTATAAAATAAAAAAATAATGCTATCTCTACACCCCACCTACAAATAGTTACTGGATTCTAAACTTAATAATAATGTCCAATAAATATATTTTTTATTTGTCCGCGAGACTACATCTAAAGTTACTTAGTTCGAATGCTACAGACTTAAACAGACCAAAACCATTTTCAATACACACGACTAATCTCAGGAGCAAAAGATACCAGACTGAGTTGGATATAGTAGAGAGGTATATTTTGTTTTTGAGGGGCAACTCAGCGAAGCAATCTTTTAACATCCTAAGATTGGTTTCTATCTTGAAAATAGCTGAAATCAGTATAATAATATTTTATACCGATAACTATATATATATATATATATATATATATATATATATATATATATATATATATATATATATATATATATATATATATATATATATATATAATATATATATATATATATATATATATATATATATATATATATATATATATATATATATAAATTTTAATCGATATTACTGAAATCAGAAGATAGAAAGATATTTTACTTGAAACTAAAATTTATTTTTTATTTTTAATCAGTTCCGGGTTCCAGTATCATTAATATTTAAAAAACTAAATGTTGCCGTATATTGTTAAATGAGAATCAGACAATTTACTCAAGATATATCTTTAACCTAAGCCCAATTAATGCGTATTTAACATCATTTTTTAAAAAATAATTAAATAAAATTTAAAATTCTACAACGAACCCACAAATTATTTTTTTAAATATTTAAAGGACTTCTATTTTTAACATTAAATTCCATGAAGAAAATTCATTCATTTATTTTCAATGAAAATTTTAACATGTGTGTAGAAATCATAGTTAATTATTTGTGTGCTGGAAACAGCGAGGTGTTGTTTTAAACGATATCTTAGCGTGGTATTTCTTCAGCAGGAAGTAAGATATAATTCCCCATAAGGAATAATGCAAATTAATTAAAATTAATAAAATTATTTCCATTTCTTTTTTTTTTTTTATTCTACTTACTTTATTCTCATATTGTAGAAATGTGTAAATGAAAATAAATTTTGGATCCGTCATAACTAAATTCTACTGCCAGAATATTAAATTGTCTATATATTATGATATAATAATAAAAGCACACCCAAATAACTTTTAAGCGTTCTTCAACTATTAACGGAGTTCGGGTATAATAACTAAATTATTATTATAAAAATGCCCCCTTTCCTAAGTATATCGAATGTTTTATATATTTAATCATTTATGAATTACAAGATATATGAAAAATACTACAAGATAGCATGCAATACTGGTACTCACTTTTTGTTTCGCATAAAATGAAGATTTCGCTCTCAACTCTCATGTATACCTAATATGTCAAATTTTATTGTTTTTTTTAATAATACTAATAAAAATATGATTTGATTTAAATATAATTATTGATAAATTCTTATAAGTTCTTCTGATAAATATGTAATTTTATAATAACTTTACTTGAATTTTAATTTTCGAGAAAATATTCAAATAAAAAAAATAACTTTTGATACATTTAAAAATATTCTTAAAATATAAAGTATTTATTAAAAATCTTATAAATTAAATTAATGAAAATTTATTTTTATCTATAAGAAAATTCGTGTATTTCGAGATGAGAGGAGCCAGCTGCTGTTGATCGTAGAACCTAAAGATCCTCAACTCTCACATTGAAATAATAAATTTGATAAGTAATAAAATGATTTAATTAAATTTAGTAAAAATGAGTTTTCATTATATAACATTAATTAATTAAGATATATTTAATAAAATCTAATCATCTCAAGTTCTTTCAATATTTCATCTATATACAGAAATTACTTTAACTAACCATAAATTCCAAATCTATTTTATGAATGTACATGGTTTGATATATTTTAAAATTGATTGAAAATTAAAGTTAGCTTTTTTTTCAAATACTTAAGAATTTTCAATATAATAATTAAATATAAATTAAATTATTTAATTTTAATAGTACCTATTTTTTTTAAATAAGGAATTAAAAATACTAATGATAAAATAAACCTAATAATATGTGAGAGGAGGTCCGTCGAAGAAGATACAAAAAAAAATATACATGCGCATGCTCCATGCAAAAAACACTGCCCACTATGGAATATGTAAACTACCAATTTTGTGACAACTATGTCATATGTTACCCACGAATTTTAAATTTTTATTTATGAATTTTTAATTATTTTATTACATCTTGAATTTAATTTTATCCTAATGAACAGCAATAATGTGTATGGAAAAATGTAAAGAAACTTTAAAGCATTTAGAGAATAATATATATTGTAACTGAATTTGTTTCAAAATTAATAAAATGACTATTTTTTAACAAAACAGTAAAAATGGACTGCAAAGATAAAACATGTAAATAATTCGACAATAGAGGTTTTTGTTTGAAATATTTTATAAAACTTTGGTGGTATCCTGCTCCTAAAAATCCCACACATGCAACGTCCAAAGTGGGCAGGACTATGGTCCGAATCAAACTTAATTTTATAAGTTGTAATTATTAAATAATAATAATAAAACAGCCAAATGTATGCATAGTGAAATATATAAATCAGCATGTATTTAAAATAATTTTCTGTAAGAATATTCGATATTTTAATACTGTTTGAGTGTAGGACCATAGTGCATGCTTAGAATAATATTCCACTAACCTTGCACCATTAGAGGTGGGTGTATCAGAGCACGGAAGATCTGCAAGAAGTGGATGGTTCTCAAGTCCAGAAGATCTACGAGGAATAGCTTGCTGGTATCTCCGGGTATCTCCATATGTCCTTCACCTCTGTAATACAAACAATAATTAAAATAAAACAATAATTATACATTATACACATATTGTACAAATAATTCTGTATATACATCGATTATTTTATTTTTATTATTATATCCCTTAGCCCATTCTATAATATCGACGTAAAATCCTTATGTTTCCTTATCATTTCAAAAATAAAATTTCCTATAATATTTATATTTCTTTTTATTATCTTTCTATTTAAATTTTATTTTAAAAAAATAATAATATTTTCCAGTAGGAAAAATCTAACTCATAGATTTGATGCAAAGCTAAACATGTTTAAAAAATCTTTAAATTTTATCAATGTCTAAAATAACTGTAAATATTTTTGTAGAAAAAGATTTTTTTTTTATAATGATCTTTTTGTTTTATTTTTTTATTTATTGTATCGAACCTTTAGGCCAGAAGTAATCTTTTCTTTTCGTACGATTTTGTTATTAAAAGGGACTTTGTCCCAGAATAAAGTAAATTTCCAATCTATCTGTCTAACGATGCCTTCAAAATGATTTTTCATCACATATGATAGAACTCTTTTTAAATCAATAGTCTGATTCAAAATAATGAGAATTCATTTAGAATGTAACACTTAGTAAAAAAGTCCAGAAGTTAAAACTGCATCATATTATAAAATATTATTTACAAATGATAATATAATAAGATAGTTAGTTTATGAGTATATTGTCAGAAAACTTACCGTATTCACGTTGCATCCACTATTATGGCTAATGGTTTAATCTGACTTCTTCCTGCATCTTCTTCTTGCCTGATGTCTTCTTCTTTCTTTCTGTACCACGAAGGAGGGGATGTTCTGTGGAGATTCCTCAAAAAGATCCTGCGATCCACTTGACGCCAGAAAACTCTTCTTGGCAGACGAAACGATTCACACTCTGGAGGACCGGACAAGCCATCTTCTGAAGCCCATCTCGTCCCACTTGAGCAGAGAGTGGTCCTCGCTCTTGCAGGATGGTCGGGAGGATTCGAATCCGACTCTTCGGCACTCGTCCCATGCAGGGAGAGGATCCATGTTCATCGATGTCCTCCGAGTCCTCGACCACCTCTGAACACTCCGTTCCGCCATTTTTTCCCTTCTCTCGGATCTTCTCCTCTACAAACCGACCCTTCCTCTCGAAGCTACTCCGACTCGAACAGAGGTTGCGTTCTAACAGAAAAGTCGAAGGAAGAAGAGATTGGAGTATTCTACGATCCGTCGGGTAGGGAATCCGAACCGCACCATCGAAATGATGTAACTAGCTGAGCGATTTTCGTGTCACAGTTGTATAAGAAGAAGTACATGGCACAATTAACAGAGGTTGAAACTGAAATAAGGGATGTAAAAATTAAATTTGACGCAATACGTCACTTCCTTGATTAAATGAAGTCAAGGATTAAAATAAGTCATTCTCTAATTTTGCGCTTATAAAAAATTGATTCCGTGGCTTGACATTTAAATAAACATAACGGATTAGATCTACTGAAAGGTTGCTTATTATATGATATAAATATACACAAGAAAATTCTTAATTATTAATATCTTTAGTCCTCAACCACATTCTCAGGAGCCAAAGCAATATCGAACCAAGCTATCTCTCAATTTTTTTACCTCTCTTTTATATCTAACTTGATTTGATTTCCTTTAGCACCTGAAAAGTTAAAGTTTAAACCAAGACTAATAAAAGGTAATGTTGGGTCGCTGATAGAGCTCTAATGAGCCCTTTATAGTTTGGTGTCTGCTGGGATAAAACATACAAATAGTTAAATATATATATATAATTACTATGATTTTCTAGTCCATCCCCAGGTGCTTGTAAAATATCAAACCAAGCTATCCCTCGAATTTAATACCTCTCTACTATATCTAACTTGGTTTGATTTTCTTTAGCACCTGAAAAATAGGAGCGTAGAATTATGACTAATAAAAACCAATTTGGGGGGTCAGCAGTACAGTTTTAATCAACCATATATAGTCTTCTTTTTTTAAAAAATCTGAACCAAAAATGTGAATATAAAAAGAAAATAGGTTGCAACCTGAAGTAGATAAATTATTACCAAGAATTTTTTTAATCAATGGCTTTTTAAATATGAGTAAATTTATAACTCAGACCAATCCTCAGGCGCCAGTAAAATATCAAACCAAGTTATCCTTTGAATTAAATACCTCTCTACAATATCTAGCTTGGATTGATTTTTTTTAGTACCTGAAAAAGGAATTTTGAACCAAAAGCCTGTGTTGGGTCGGGAATAAAGCTTTAATAAACTGCTAATGATTTAGGATGTGTGGAAATAAAATGTCTGTAGTTTTCCAAAACTTGATTTAAAAAGGACATCTGCTAAAGTAAATATTTGTTCTTATTTTTTTAGTAGATCCAATTTCAATTTTTTTGTAAATAAATGTGGTGGTTGCTAACAATTTTGGTATTATTAAAGCATAAAATTGTTTAGACGGGTTTAAACAATTGTCTCAGACGGAGTTGCCCTACCGATCGCTAGAGAAATTATATCAATCAAAAATAATAAAGGTTAGAAATGCAACCACCGAAAAAAAATTTCAGTTGTCGACTTCTGCAAGTTGAGCGATGTTTTCCTCCTTGTACAACCGTAATACAAAAACAGCCCAGTCGGAACATCACTTCGAAGATGCGATTCGAACTCCCAAACACGACGGACCGCGGAACACTTCAATCTTTTCTTCCTTCGACCCTCCCGCTAGAGCGCAACATTTGATCGAGTAAAAGTGACCTCGAGAGATAGACTCGGTATGGAGAAGAGAAGATCCGGGAGAAGGAGAGAAGTGCCGGAGCGGAGGGTCCGGAGGAGGTAGAGGACCCGAAGAACGCCGAGGACCGTGGACCCTGCCCGAGCTGAGCAGAGCACAGAAGGGCCGGACTCGAACCCCCCGACCGCCCTGCAAGAGCGGGGCCGGCTCACCGCTCAGGAGGGAACGAGAAGAACCTCAGAAGGTGGCCTGCCAGGTCCTCCGGAGAGCGGATCGTCTCGTGTGCTGAGAGCAATCTTCCACCGTCGAGTGGATCGCAGGATCTTCTCGATGGTCCTCAACAGAATATCACACCCTCTATGGTACAGGCTGTCTGGAAGCTTCTATCTTCGGAGGGTTAGCAAAAGGAAGTAGATTCGTACTGCTGAGATGTCAAGAACCTGCAAAAGATAAAAAAATAATAATTAAATAATTACCTACCATAAATAATCACTTTGAGAAAAGTTGATGTAATTAAATAGTTATACATAATTATGAACTCTTATTATAAAACAGATGCTTGATATATTATAGTCAAAATTTATTTTGAAATAAAAGAACAAGGCTAGATAGATGGAAACGTAGGACCTTATAATTTTATAAAGAATATTTTATTTTATTTGTATTTTTATAAATAGGGTTCATATTTTTTTCACCAGAAAAAGAACAACAATTAAAACAACCACAAAATAATCCTAAAGAACAATCACATATTACACAAGTCGTTACTGTTAGTGCAAAATGTATGTAAAAATTGAGCTTTTTTACTGAAGAGAGCAATTATTTATTTATGATTTATTAGCATAATTTCATATTTTATTTTCCTATTAAGCCGACTACTTATATCAGTTGCTGACTACAAAATTTCACCTTTAGGGCATTGTTAATAAACATGTAAAATTATTACATAAAATCTTGTGCTCTAAAAGTGGCGATGTAATCCTTACACTGAATGAAAAGATAGGAATATGTACGATCTAATGTTTAACGTAGTTAAAATATGTTAAAAAAAATAATTTATCCATTTTGTAAGGTATAATAAGATGATTGTGTTTCTTTGCCTGATATAAAAATAAATAAATACAAATTCAAAAAAGTATTAATAATTATTAACTTCACATAGCAAGTAGTTCATTGGTTAACTGTTGAGACTATACTAAGGAAGAAGTATATTTTTCGAACTTCATAAATATTTTAAATACTCCATTTTACATACATTTTGTTATATTTTTAAAATGTCCAAACCATGAATTTGTTGCATTTTTTGCAAGTTTAATATGAAGTGGTCCACTTTAAGATATATCAAATTTAATATTAATTAAACATTGCACACACCATGAAGGAATCTCGACCACAAGCGTTTTAACTTCGAAGTAGCGAGATCATTCGAAAATAAAATTAAAAAATTTTAATTTATAATGTAATTATTTAGATGAGGACCGCACGGATTACTCGTGGTTCACAATCACTTCGGTCACACTTGTTCATGGAGTGCCGAATGCACCCGGGTTTATCCGAAAGAATGTTTTCGCGTTTCATGAACAAGTATGATCGAAGTGATTGTGAACTATGTGTAACCCGTGCGATCCTCACCTAAATAATTACCATTTAAAATTATGTATAGTATAAACTCAATAGTTTTACATGTTTTTACGTATTATGACATATATTTATATATGACTTGATAATTCAATAGGCAATTGTATTTAATTTGAAATATATTCGGTACGTTATTTTTATAAAGTTATGATAAAAAATGAGCATTATTTTCTTAGATAATTAAAAAATATTTATTCATTTAAAAATAAAATTAACTTTTATGATTATATGGTACAATCCATAAATATGTTATATTATAAGAAGTATGGTGTTCTTTTAAAAAAAATGACGGTTATTATTTAGTAGATGAGGAGCGCACGATTAAAATAGTCTTTCGAATATACCGGAATGCATTCCGCACTCCATGAACAAGTGTGACCGAAGTGATTGTGAACTACTCGTAATCCCTTCGATCCTTATCTAAATAATTACCAAAACAATATTATAATTGATAATTTTAATATAAAATATTTATATTAAATTACAATCTATTTTAAAATATATTGAAATATCATCAGTACCTTATTTTATATTTGACGAAGAATTATTATATAATATTCTAAGATCGTAATAATTATATACATAATTCACAATCCTTTGGTTCACACATGAAAAGCCGAAACATTCTTTCGGCTAATACCGGATGCGTTCGGCACTGCATGGACAAGTGTGACCGAAGTGATTGTGAACCACGCGTAACCCGTGCGGTTCTCATCTAAATAATTATTCAATTGTATTTAGATGATATAAAGTCCTGATATAAGCAATAACTTACAATAATTATTTTTAAGTGCATCGTTACAGAGTGTGGAACTAGAAAAAGTTCGAAGTACACTGAGTGCAAAGTATGAGCCAAACATTGTAATAATACACATTTCGGTATTAAAATTAAAAATAATAACAACGAAACTTTTGAATATTAACGCATGCGTCATTCTGTTATGTCCTTGCATTAATAATTGGTTAATTTATTTTATAAAATTATCAGTACCTTATTTCGTATTGGCGAAAAACTATCGATTTACTTTCTCATATTGTTTAAATATCAATAAAGATATATATATAAACTTCTGTTATAACAAATAACTGTAATAGTTATTGCGATGTTCACTGATACAGAGCTGCTACTAGACTGAAGGCGAAGTAAAATGTACGAACTTCCATAAACAGCTGGTTTCCGAAATTCGAAGTAATAGTAATGTATATTAAAATAAAAATCTCCAAACAATAGAACAACTATTAAAAAATCTATAAACATTATTTTACGTTCGTAAAATAAATATATGTTAATTTGTCAGGCAGTAATATTTATTTTACTTATATCTCACTATAACCTCAATTGTTATTACTCAATATTCTTTATGTATTTATATTAAGTTAATTTTCTAATTATATTTATTTCTATTTTAAAATACAAAAAATTCAGTAGGTAAATTTTTCCTTAAATATTCGTATCTGTTTAAATATTTTTATCATATGTTTTGTAACCTTCCAGGATTGTTAACCTTCCGCTGAAATCCAGCTGATCGTTGCTAAACTCAGCATTAATAGCTGTCCGTTGCTTGATTCAATCGAATAATTGATTCTTCAACACTACTATATTAATTGATTAAATTAGCACTGAGTTAATGAACTTACACTATATTCGAACTGCCATTGTTCAAAGTGAGGCGGTTTATTTTTAAAAAAGTTTGTTTTTCTTTATAAATAATATAAAATATTCTGTCACTTTAAGGTAACACTACGTTCACACTATTTGTACAAAAAATATATATACAACAAATACAAATGAAACAACTTAAAGATAAGTAAATTAAAAAGCAAACCCATGACATATATTCATGAGACAAACCTATATATGCAAAAAAAAAAAGATTTATTTTTTTAAATTTAACAGAATATGACAATTGTTAAAGATACATGCACGTATATGTATGTATGCATAGAAATTGGAAATTGCTTGATTAAACAACAAGAAACATTTATATTATAATTTAATCACTAACTTATTTAAAATTGCAAAGAAACTATTGTGTCATTTAAAAAATATTCAATTGTGTTTAGACGAAATCAACATCCGATATAAGCAATAGCTGCATATAATAATTAATGCGAAGCGCATCTTTTGGATCACACTGATGTAGAGAATTACAGTTCGGGTCAAAAGTTCAAATTCGTTTTAAAATATTGTTATAATTAGTAATGCATGTTATAAAATAATATAACCAATTAATATTAACATCAACTATTTAAATTAACAAGATATGTTTGATCATTTAACCGCATAACATTATCCCATAAATAAATTATTTGACATAATCAATGTACAGTACGAGTCAACAGTATTTGTAGACTTTATAATTCTATAATAATTCTTTATAATTATTATAATTCTAAATTGACTATATTCTTACAACCAGAGTATAAAGTAATCAATCAACACTCTTCAGAAAAAATAATATATTCCTTTTTCGTAATATTTTTTATTAACCGTAATTTAAGTAATTTAATAACCTTTATTTAAGCATTCGAAATGATAATTTATTATAAGTATTCTCCAAACATTATTATTTGAAATTGATTTTAGTGGATTTATATATAACTATTTACAATGATTAAACGAAATAATTTTAAATACTTCAACAAAAATTAATAATACATAACGAGAAAATGTGTAATGATCTTCATCAAATGAAGATGAATCAGAACAAAATAATCCTAATAAATCATACATGTGTTTTATTATTATAAAACCATTATATATATATTATTTATTGTTATATTTTTATCAACATCACAGAAACACATTTTTTTCCCCACAGAAATCTTTGTTTTTAATAATATGGGCATATATATTTACATTTATATAAAATACAACGACATTGTTTTAGACATTAATTTTTCATGAAAGTATTAAGTCACCGTTCTTTATAAACATAGAAAGTTGGAAGATAAATATTTATCTATTTTTTACCAGTTATTCTTTATTTAATGGAAAGTTCCGAAGTATACCTAATTTTTTTAAGGCTCACAATTTTCTTATGGCGACATTTTTGAATTTTTTTTTCCATTAAAAACATGTTTTGGAAAAACACCTCTAACTCTAATTATGTAGATATCAAAATAATGATAATTTTGTAGTTATCAAAATAATGATAATTTTGTAGTTATCAAAATAATGATAATTTTGTAGTTATCAAAATAATGATAATTTTGTAGTTATCAAAATAATGATAATTTTGTAGTTATCAAAATAATGATAATTTTGTAGTTATCAAAATAATGATAATTTTGTAGTTATCAAAATAATGATAATTTTGTAGTTATCAAAATAATGATAATTTTGTAGTTATCAAACCAAAATAAAATAATGATTAGGATTTATTTTACATTTTTTTTCATTCAATATATTACCTAAGAGAGAAAGAAAGTGGTTGAAAAAAAGCATTAAAATTACCATAAAGGGAGACTAATGGTTTTTTTTTTCAATTGAAAATGAAATTGAAAACGGCCACAAAAAAATAAGCGTGAGCCTTTAAAATTGTTTTGAATCCTCGATTAAATAGGTTATAACTAGTAAAAAAATATATACAAATTAAAAATGTCTAGAAACTAAATTAATGCCAATAGAGTTATTTCAAACGTATTTAA